GGGTTTTGGATTTAGGATTTCGGGTTGTATCTTCTGCAACTGCCGTCAGAGCGTACGGATGTTCGGAGCCTGGTACCTTTGAGAACACGACTGTATGATTCCAACCTAGGGTTCTTTAGGGTTTGGGGTTTAGGGTTCATTGATGGTTAGGGTCTGTTTTGGGGAATGAGCACCTTCTTCCGAGCCCGTGGAAATCATATAGGGCTAGACTCTTAGAGTCCTGCAAGAGTTTCGGTTTCAGGAATTTCGGGTTTAGGATTTAGGGTGCTACATAGAGGACTCAAATGCTTACTGCCGTAGCAAACGGGCTGAACATGGGAATTCGGACAGCGACCCCCGCTCAGTTTTGACTTAAAGATATCTCAAGCTAAGCTTGGCCCCAAAACTTACTAGGTTCCTTGGTAGTTCCCAAGATCCAACCCTACTTGGAGGTTCATGGGTAGCTATAAGTAGGGTAAGTATAGTTATAACTCATATTAGGGAATGTATAACCCTACTTATAACTACCCATGAACCTCCAAGTAAACCCTAAACCCTAAGCCAAGAAGCTGCATGGGAATGGAAATTCAGGGTGTGGTTTGTTCGGCTTCGGGTTCACCTCAACACCCCCAAAGACCTTGCCTTGGTAGACACGTGGCACTTGGAGTTTCATGGGTAGTTAGAACTTAGAACTAGGGTTATAAATCCCCTACAGTGGCTTATGACTATAGTTACCCTGCTTATAACCCCACTTATAACTACCCATGAACCTCGAAGCAGGAAGTCTCATTTAAAAGTAAGAGCCCTAAACCTGCAGGGTGTTGGGGAAAGTTTCGGGGGGTTCACCCATAGGCTCCATTGTCGTTCCTTTTTGGAGATACCTTATAGGACATTGGAATTTACAACCACAACAAGGAGCCACCATGGAGCCTGTGGGCAGGTAGTTCTTCACATGTAGATTGGACGGAGCTTAGGAGCGAAGATGACTTTCTGAGATGCTACCCCCGGGTTTGAGTTGAGTTTCGGGTTGATGGTCTAAGGTTTAGGAGTTTAGGGATTTCGGGTTAAGGGTTTTAGGTCTTCTAGGGTTTAGGTGTATGATTAAGCATTCGTGTTTTAGGGTTTGGGATTCAGGGGTTGATGGTTCAGGCTTTACTACCCATCAAATCCCAAAAGAGCTGCAGCACGATACAATCCTGAAGCTCTCAACCCCCGAACCCCTTGTCGCGAGCTGCATTTCCAGGCTCAATTTGTCAATGCTCTGCAGCCAAGCCTGAGCCTTAAACCCTATAAACCCTATAAGCCCTATAAACAGTATAAATCCTATAAACCCTAAACCCCCATAACTTCACTGTCCTGACCGCAACCTTCAAACTGCACCGGCCGAGTGCGCTTTCACCGGCCGCCGAAGCCCCAAGCCCCAAGCCCCAAAACCCAAAACCCTAAACCCTAAACCCTAAACCCTAAACCCTAACCCTAAGCTACCCGGAGCTCTATTCCTCAAGCCCTCGAAGATGTAGGGGCCTGGCCTTAACGGTCTAGGGTTGAGGGTTTAGGGCCTGTCTTGTGGCATCCGAGGTTTCGAAAGAGGCGAGGTCACCTACACATCCCTCTGAAGCCTTACCTTCTTTGAGATCTTGGCCTTAAGACAACTGCTAGCCCACACCCCTGCCCCACCCCCTTAGCCCCCTAAATTCCTGAATCAAGCAGAAGTTGGATGTCGTTCACCGGCAAACCCAACACCTCAGAGAACCAGTGGCTTCGAGCCCTACACCTTTGAAAAACACCTAGACAGTGCTCCGACGCTTCTCCATTTGGTTCCGATGCCGCTGCTGCTTCGATGTCTTCTCCCGACGCTTCGGGCGAGACATGGGCCGGAAACTCGGGATTTTCGAAGTTTTAGGATTGAGAGATTTCAGAGCCACAGACGGAGGCTTATATGAAAGTCATGTTGTGGTAAACTGTCATGATAGTTTTGGCGAAGGTGTAGCATCTCCGGCGTGTTGTGATTGTAATGCTACGGTTTACTCCGGCAAGAACTGTTGGTGTGTGTGTGTGTGTATGGCTCGGGGTCGCATTAATTGAAGCAGCGCTGCCCTGTTTGTTTCGAAGTGCAAATAGGCCACAACGAGACTCCTCAACCCTAATTTTTGAGCTTAGGGTATCATCCTAAACATTGTGTGAACCCCACAGGCCGGGCTCCCTACTATGAAACCCTTCTATATTGGTGCCGTATTATATTACGGACCCAAAAAGGGACCATAATTTTGACAACCATCCATATAATCCCTTGATGCGGATGTTCAGCCGTTTAGGTATGCCCTCAATCCTGGATGGAAAAGATCTTAGAGTTTCAACTCGCAGCTCAAACGCCAGTTATCACAAGCAAGCCTGCATCATTCTCCTCCGAGATTACAGCGAAAGTCTAACATCTACAGTCATGCCTTCAGCATTACACCCAGTCAAAAGACTGTCGGGCCAGCCACCGAAGGAAGTTCAACACATCCTTAGCTCCTTAGCTCCAGAACTTATAGGCTGTTTGATAGGCCCGAATTTGTGTTCAAGGGTTTAGGCTAGGGTAAATCGACCGTAGAGCGCCAAGGCCCCACAGCCCTAATGCCTTGAAGCCCCAGAACAGCCCTAGAAAACCCTGAACCTTAAACCCTGAACCCTAAACGCTAAACCCTAAACCCTCGCTCCTGAATCTACGAACACGCCTTTGTTCCAAGATCCTAAGGCCCCCTCAACCGCTCTGTACACGTCACCCGGAAGCCCAAACCCCAAAAACCCCTGACAACTCTTTATATTAATCACATTAAAACCAAAGCCCTAAAGCTCTAACATCCTAATGCTGCGTAACCCAAGCAGAACCCTAAACCCGAAACCCCTACACCCTTGAACCCAAAACCCTAAACCCCTAAACTCTTGAACCCTAAACCCTAAACCCTAAACTCTGGACCCTAAAACCCTAAACCCTAAAACCCTAAAACCCTAAACCCGAAAACCCTGAAACCCTAAACCCAAAACCCTAAGCACGGAGGCATCGCTGCATCAAGCCTTCCAGGAGCTCCTTTCGCTCCAGGCCGCGGCTCAGAAGAGTCCAGTGTTTTCGGGTTTCGGGGTTTAAGGCTTTAGGGTTTTCGGGTTTTAGGGGTTTAGGGCTTCAGGATTTTAGGGTTTAGGGTTTTAGGGCTTTAGGGTTTAGGGTTTAGTGCATTAGGGTTTAGGGTTTATAGGGTTTTGAGGGTTCAGTATTGAGGGATTTAGGCTTTCGGGCTTTAGGGTTTGATAATGGGGCTGTAAGAGTTGGAACATGAAATAGGACTTCGATGAAGGGTTCTTTTACGGGTTCTAGACGGGATCTATGGGAGGAAGACTTGAACAACCTGGAAACCACCGAGCAGCAACACACCCCAAGGGAGGAGCCATGCTTACCCCCAAATCACTAATGTAGAGGGTTTAGGGCCTAGGGTTTATCCCTAAATCCCTAATTTAGGAACCTGATTAAGAAACCCTGGGCCTTTATTTGAGATCTTACTATGAAATTAATATAGTGGGGTTAAAGGGCCAGTGTTTCTTAATCAGGTTCCTGCATGTAGGGGCCTAAATAATTACCAACACTATTTTGAGGGTTCCTTATTGTAGTTATAGTATAATGGGCCCCAAAACCCTATTCTAATTAGTAAGGCTTCTATATTATGTGGCCAAGCACCGAAATGGTAAGTAAGGAGACCAGGGCCCTGAATGAAAGAAAACCCCTTCGGAAGCCCTGCAGAAAATCCATTGAGCTATTTACATTTTAAAGCCCTAAACACCGTAGGTTTAGGGTTTAGGGTTGTGAGCGGCACTTAGTAATTAAGACCTAAACCCTAAACCCCAAAAAAGGCCCTAATTACTGCCAAGAAGCTCCTTCCCCTGACGAAGGCGGTGCTGAGCAGTCACTGCCATGCCATACGGCCACCAAGCTGAACAGTCCAGAGGGCCTAATTCCCACCGCGCCTGCTTTAAGCGGACTCAATAGGATTCTACGTGTATCTACATAAGGTGCTAGAGGTGTTTTTGTCTAGGTGAAAGGGGATGTTCATAGGGTGTATATGTTGAGCTCCTTCCTCAGATGCCCGGAAGACCAACATGCCAGGCGTGTTTGAAATAGGCATCAGGCTCATATTAGGGTGTTGTGTGTATCTTGAATTTCCGGCTTATGTGTTGCAAGCCGTTTGCTAGCAAGCTGGCAGTCCTTTTCGAATCAAATGACCCTCCAGAAAGCCAAGGCTAAATCCTGAACCTCCAACCATGGAGCCTGAAACCTCGCCGTGCATGTGGCCAAGCGCGCAACCCTCGAATCGCCCCTAACATCCGCAAGCCAGCGAGGCATCCAGCCTCAAAGACTGAATTTGAATCCTAAAGCCTGAATCTCAAACCTTAAATCCTAAACCCTAAAACCTAAATCCTAAATCCTAAACCCTAAACCTTGAGCCGTCTATTCTAAACCTGAGCTAAACCCTGGACCCTAACCTTAAAGGCATGCAGTTCTCAGCAAGGCAAGACCCCAAACCTGGAAACTGCTACTCCTGAGGCCCTAAACCACCGCAAACCCAGAAGCAGAAAGGCATGCAGCCTACCGGCTAAACCCTCAAAGAGCGTCAAACCCAACCCGAAACCCTGAACCCGAAACAGATAATCCCAAAGGCATGCAGCTTACTGGCAAGACTTGCGGCTTCTGCGCTGCTTGGAAGCCTGGGCTCAACTGGCTCATGGGCCCCCTGACTGCCAGCAGCAGGTTACTGTAGGGGCCTAAATAATTATCAATACTATTTTGGGGGCTCCTGAATATAAGTATTATATAATGTGCCCCAAAACCCTATTCCAATTACTAAAGCCCCTATATTATTCTGTTTTTGTTGATCGGGCTTGGCGGTTCTACGTACAGAGGATTTTATGTGGTTTTTGGTGTTTTGCTTGTCGGGTTTAGCGGCTCCGAAGAGTTGTACCGGGTTTCATAGGGCTTACCGGGGTGCTTATCCCTTAGTCCCTTGAAACCCTAAACCCTAAACCCTAAACCCTAAACCGGTCCCTTAGTCCCTTGAAAAGATAAAGGTGTTAATGGATCAGGCCGTACACACTAAATCCGGTTTAGGGTTTAGGGGTTTAGGGTTTAGGGGCTTAGGGGGCTTAGGGGTTTAGGGGCTTAGGGGGCTTAGGGGTTTTGGTTTTAGGGTTTAGGAGTTTAAGGTTTAGGGGTTTAGGGTTTGCGGGTTTAGGGTTTAGGGGTTTAGGGTTTAGGATTTCGGGGCAAGCTAAGGGCTCGGGGAAGAAATTGTCCCGAAGTGCAAATTACTGGGCCACTGATCCCAAACATCATCCCACGTTGTGAGGTTTCGAGTTGAGTTGTTAGGGTTTCTGCCCATAAAATTTCGGCCGAAATTCAGGTGTCTGAATAATAAATAGTAGTATCGACGCACAGTCCCTATATAACGCATCCCGCTGTTTGCACCGAAGCCCTTTCCTAGTGATCAAGGCCCAGATCGCTTTGTGAACGTGGTTCTTTGGCGGGAGCTGGCAACTTCGAAGTGGCGCTTGATCAAGGATGCCTTGGACAGCCCCCAGACGAGGCATTTCCACAGATCACGTTGCAACGATTCAAGGTCACAGCTGTTTCTACCGAGGCAACTATGCCTAAGCGCTCGTTGCACAGAGTGCACGACAGCCCAAGTTGTAGCTGGCCGGCCGGCCGGCTCTGGACAGTGGAGGCAACCCGGCTTGCCACGACATGGCTTTCCTTGATCTGTGACACTTAGGCCCTAGCTTAAGCAAGCCGGGTCTAGAGAAGAATGAATTGGACACTGCCTGGGTGTACTGGTGTAAAATGCCACGAGAACACAGCAAATCTAGCAAGATTGCTGCTCACATCTCCGTGCCCAGTCTTCCAGCCATGGCACAATCCAAGAAGTTGGTCCGGCTTCAGGCGCTCCTCGAGACAACGAGCCATGCCACAGTGATGAAGAAACTGAAAGAGATGGTGCCGAAGCCAGCAATATCACCTTGACGGAGTCCTCGGGGCACGACTTTAACCTGGACTTGTCCGTGTTCGAACACCGCTTGGGGCTCTCTTCATCGTTGTGGGTTCTAGGCCTGGGTTTGTCTTTCGGAGTTTTTGGTGTGCCGGGTTCAGAGGCGGCATTGGGTTTAGAGTCGCGGGTGCTCGCAGTATCACCAAAGCTGTCACTAGGAAATCCGAGACAGAACCCTTCAATCGTTACTAAACCAACTGCTCCCTAAACCCTAAACCCTGCAATTTCCCGCGTCACTCGTCCCTGGTCGAGTCCGAACGACTTTTGCCCCATCTCTTCGGGCATCCTTGTAACGGTAGTATAGGGATGCTTATAGGGTTTAGGGTTTAGGGGTCTCCGGATAATTGGATTCTGTTTACTTTCACTTGGCCTATCTACAATTCCACGAAAAATGCCTCCCAAGCCTTTTTCTAATTCTTCAAGCCCCCTTGTTTACTATTCGCTAAACTGTGTGACCCTCAAGCCTTTTCTGGTGTTGGTAAAAGGATCAGTGGTCCCTAGATGGAGGCTCCGACAAGTTTAGGTCTATCCAAGGATACCTTTTGTTTGAGCCGACACGGTCCCTAAGCCTTTTACCCTAAGGGTCCAAGTACCCATTATTTAAGGACTTTGGGGCGTTTTTGGGTACCTAAAACCATATGTAAGGACTACATGGACCCTTAGGGTTTATTCAGTTTACGAAGACGGACAGCTTCATTGGAGTGTAGAAACTTACCGGACCTGGGTGTCGAGGATTTCAGGGAGTTTAGGGCTTCTAGGGCTTAGGTTTAGAACTTAGGGTCCTTATGGACCCCTAAGTCCTTACCCTCCAAACCCCTAAACCTCTAAACCCCTAAGCCCCTAAACCCCGTCCTAAACCCTATGCCCTGAAACCTTACCCTCCAAACCCCAAAACCTCTAAACCCCTAAACCCTTAAACCCCTAACCCCCAACCCCTAGACCCTAAACCCCTAAACCCCTAAACCCTTAAACCCTAAACCCTGAACCCCTAATCTCTCCTTAAATGCCCAATATCAAGAGCAGGCGGAAATCTGGAGAGCTCGGCGAGGCCAACGAAGATGAGGCCGGGTCCAAAGCACCCAAGTAGTGGGGTCACTACTGCTAATAGGGTTGTGGGGAATACTATACTATAATTATGATAAGGAGCCACCAAAATACTGATGATACAAATCCTGCATTACCTTAAAAGGACCGTAAACTATGGGAATTATGGTATATTCCTTATGATGATGATGATGATGATGACGATGATGATGGGCAAGGCAAGATTTTTATCATCAACCGCCCTTAGGGGTTTAGGGGTTGGGGAGTATTTGAAATACCAAAAGGGTTCTACATGGGTACCTATAGCCGGGTTCAGGGGTCCACAACACCAAAGTAGTATTAAAGGGCTTGTTAAAGGTAAGGGAATGGTAGAACGGTTCTAGAATAAGGGTTTAGGGTTTTAGGGTTTAGGGTTTAGGATTCTCTAAGCCATGGGATATTCTATTCTAAGGCCCTAAACCCCGGGATATTCCAAGGGTGGCTGTCAGGGATACGATGGTCGGTTCTGCACATTTGCATAAGGGCCCCTCAGGGGCCGAGTGCCCATATAGTATAGTTTGTTTTGTGGAGTTTAGGGTTTAGGGGTTTAGGTTACTATAATGGTTCGTACCATAAGGGTTTCCATAAGAGTTTCTTTCAGGGTCATTGGGTTACTCCATGCGTTACTATAAGCGAGTAACTTCCGAAACCAACGCCCGAGACTGCAGAACCCCAGCAATGTAAGGACGCCCGGATCGCGTTTAGGGAGCCTACCCACATTGCCTGACTCCTTAACCCTGAGAAATCAAGGCGCAAGTACATGAATCCCGTGAGGAGGTATCATCATCAGGCGTCTTGTTTGGTACGTCCTTACAAGAGCAGTTATACCCTAAACCCTAAATCCTAAAACCCTGAAACCCTAAACCCTAAATAAACCCTAAAGTCTTCAGGAGTGTTATATAAGCCCTAAACCCTAAAAACCCTAAACCCTAAACTCTTCAGGAGTGTTATATGGGACCTTCATGTTGAGAACCACCCATAGACCCGCAGGGCTGGAGTCGCCAGCCACACAACGGAGGACAACGGACAAGACTTAGGGAACCCAGCTCTTCGGACTTAGGGTTTAGGGTTTAGGGTTTAGGGTTTAAGGCTTAGGGTTTAGGGCTTAGGGTTTAGGGTTTAGGGTTTAGGGTTTAGGGTTTAGGGAGGGAACCCAGCTCTTCGGTCTGACCTACCTTACACTACCAAACCCGGTTTTTTTGTAGGTTCCTATGATAAACCCTAATATGGAATTGATAGGGACCCTACAAAAAAGTAGGTTTTGGTAGGTTAAGGTATTTCTACGGGCTTTAGGAGGGACCCTTAATAGGGACCCTTGTAGGCTATTGGGGTCAATCTGAAGACTACCTGGCTATATAAGGGGTATGTAAGGACTATACAATGTTTATTTAGGTAATCGGTTAAGGGTCCCTGTTAGGGGTCCCTCCTAAAGTCCTTAGACTGACCGATTACGGTTTAGGGCTTTGGGTTTATAGGGTTATAGGGTGAATCGGGTTTCGGGTTGAGGGTTTATAGTTCATTGGGTTTAGGGTTTAGGGCCTATAGGGTTTAGGGTTCGGGGTTTATAGGGTCCAAATACCTGATGGCCGTTTGATGGCCATGCAAGCCTCTAAACCACTAGCTTGTAGGCTTACGCGAAACCCTAAACCTTATACCCAACTAAACCCAGGTACTCAAGCAGACTGGACGCAGGCCCTATATAGTTACATATCATATATAGGTTGATGTGCGCGTCGGACTGTTCCATTGTAGTCTGTATGTAAATAGTATAGTATACCCCTCCCCCCCCCAGAACCTCTATCTAACTATTAAGGTCGATGTGTCAGACTCTACGTAATCCTCGATCCCTGCATCGAAGAGACCCACAAGACGCAATACCCCGTAAATGGAAAACTGCCTTCCTGTCTATTCAGGCTTAACATCATGAAGCTACGAAGAACCTGATAGAGAACAAGGCCAATATCAGGTTTTACTATACCCAACCCTATAAGCCCACGGCCCTGCAAGCCCAAAACCCTAGACCCTATAAATCCAAACTCCAAACCCGGAAATAAATATAAACCCTAAACCCCTAAACCCCTAAACCCCCAAACCCTAAACCCTAAACCCTTAAACCCCTAAACCCTAAACACTCTATAGACCCTAAACCTCTAAACCCGTAAACCCTTAAACCCCTAAACCCCTAAACCCTAAGCCCTGATGCTCCTGGGCTTCGTAGTAACCTGAAACCTCAATCTCGCCTGCGCACGCGAGGTTCATGCGCTCACCGTGGAGGGTGCGAGCCAGGCGTTCCTTTTAACGGTTCTACATGTTAGGTTTCAGGGTTCAGGGTTTACCCAAAGTCCCCGTAGTAGTTCCTTTTTGGGATTACCTAAAAGGATCCTAAATATAAGCCACAAAAATGTTTAAAAGGAACTACTATGGGGCCTATGGGTAGGCCTAGGGTTTAGGGTTTAGGGTTCTATGCTTCCCGGCGTGTCGGGTGATGTAAGAAGGCCCAGGATTGTTTCTGCCAGGAGCTTCAAGACTCGATCCCTAAACCCTAACCCCTAAACCCTAAACCCTAAACCCTATAGGGTTTATAGGGTTTAGAAATAGGGGCCTTCAGCGCCCTGGTCGGGTCGTTTTTGCAGATCCTGAAGATTTTGGGTTTTTAGGTTTAGGGCTTTCAGGGTTTAGGGTTTGGGGTTTAGAGTTTAGGGTTTAGGGTTTAGGGTTTACAGATACAAGGTTATAGGGTTCAGGCTGTTTGTTTCATTATTTCAGGGCTTTGTACTAGAGATTCTTCTATTTCTTCTTCCAAGAACTTACTACATCTTGGGCGTCAGCTTTTCTAGCAGAGCCCAGCCTTTGTGCGCTTTAGGAGCTCGGGCTGGGGGTCTGCAGTCACGGGTAGTGTGTGTGGGTTCAGGGCTTTAGGGGTTTAGGGCTTAGGGCTTTAGGGGTTTTGGGGTTTTGGGGCTTAGGGTTTTAGG